ATGAGGAAGGTGGTCCCTTCTTCGAGGGTAAAGATGGAGTTGGGACCTTCTTCAAGGAAAAAGGACCATTCTTTTTAGTGCTCTTGGCACTCAATCCGCTCTTAGTTATGTTGCTAAGATGGTGGATTTTTGGCTTGTTTTTTTAATGTTTTCCCCACAGACGGCCCCAAATTATTTCGGATGAAAACAATAAGTCTTTCATTTGGGCTTTACTTGTGGGATGAATACTAGATTCGGAACAAGTGATGACTGGGACGAGGGTTTCCTGCACAGCAAACACACATAAACTGGTCTCGGGGGTTGTGCCGAGGAAGGCCCCTACAATGTCGAATTCAGTGTAGTGTTTAGAGAGAGAAAGCTATGCAAGAGAGTTAATGCTTGAGGCTTGAAGTGAATGAATTGAGAGAGAGAGAGAAGTCAAGGCTTTTATACCTTACTCAAATGGATAAATTGAGCCTTGAGGTCAAATGGACTTGCCACGTTGATCGGGCCTTTGACTGACTTGGCATGTATTAGGAGAGTCGAACCTTCTTTCGGGCTTTGTAATTGAATCATTTGTGGACCGGCTCAATTGGAGTAAATTGGACCCAAACATTTTCTATTGTGATTATATGCGGCAAATCGACCTATACACTAGATTATTACCCGGCCTAAATTCGATTTGGACTTTACATGACCTAAAACTTAATTGAGTTAGGTCTCCTGTTCACTTCATCTTACAAAAATAATATCCAGTAAAATTAATTTCACTTCAATAAAAATAATTTCAGTTCAGTAAAAATAAGTTCAATTCAGCAAAAATAATTTCAGTTCAGTAAAAATGATTTCAGTTTAGTAAAATTCAGTAACTATAAAGAATAAATATAATAGAGAATCAGTAGAAATAATTTCAGTTCAGCAAAAATAGTTTCACTTCAGTAAAAATAATTTTAGTTCAATAAAATTAATTTCAGTTCAGCAAAAATAGTTTCAGTTCAGTAAAAATAATTTTAGTTCAGCAAAATAAGGTGAAGTGAACAGGAGCTTAGTATGAAATAAACAATTAATATTGGGTTATCTTTCATTATAATGTAATTACCATAGAAGCATTACATGTGAAAAATTGAATCAAACAAAACAAAATAATTAATCTTTAATGTGAAATTGATTGAAATCATTCTTTGAATAAAAAAATGATTCAAGAAAAACAAGACAATATACATATTCTACCAGTGTGGGCCGTGATAAGTGCTTACTGGGTTGATGGGCTTACTTGGTCCAGAAGGGAGCATGTAAAGCCCAATTAATGGATGGATTGAATAGTGTTGGATCAATCAAGGTTAACAAATTCATTATTTCAGATCTTACTCTTGAACTCGTTTAACATCATTTCAGTCTTCTCTTTTTTTTAGTTCATGAATAATTCTTTCCTCATGCAGCTTGTTGCCTATTAAGTATTAAGTATACCGCGTAATCAAGTAATCAACCACATAAAACAAAGTAAGTTATGATATTTGTAAAGTTATATAAACTCCTTACAATCTCAAATAAGTTACGTACATTCAAAATTCAAACAATTATTCACGTCATATTTATAAGCTATAACTCTAAAATAAGCGCGAAAAAAACCTATTATCTTCCGGTTTCTTGTACGTTATCCTACACATATTGCAAGATTTGCAACACCCAAAGAGGTTATCCATAACGAAAACTTTCGTTACATAAACATTCCCCATAAAAAAATGTATGATGAAAATGGTAAAACCTCTTTAAAAAAAATGTGGCGCTACCAACCAGACTACACACTACACTACTTCACTAGCCACTGTCCACTAGTACACTACACTAGTGAAGTGAGTATGAATTATACAATGACCTGTCTTGTCGTCATACGCAATAAACAAGGCTTCGGCTTCCCCACCACACGTGTGCTTTTTGATACTACAAGTAATTTCTCTCTTTTCGAAATTAATTCATTGGCCAAATTATTATATTCATTAATTTTCCTGCTCATTATTTACTACAACTACTATTACGTCATTAACAACTCTCAAAAGATTCACCTAATCAAACGGCCTTTTTATCATTATTTTTATCAACATGCAAATATGCAATGCATGCACGAATCTATTTTGATTTTTTCAAACTATATTTTTTTCTAACAAAATCAGTTTCGTCTTTTTTAGATGATTAGAATCTACATACGTTTTTATTTTAATATTATTAATTATAGCAATATTATTTAGTTAATTAACATGTAAAAAATTGACCTAGCTAGTTCAAAATTGACCCAAATATAATCGATGTTAAAAAGTTTTTGTCTTGAGTCAATGGTATTCAAATTTAAAAATTCCAATTTTTTATATGGATATCTAGGAATTATAAAAATTAAATTATATATACAAAGTATAACAATAAATAGAAATTATGAATATTAGAATATTATATTATGAATTATGTTGAAGGTAGATGTCATTTACTCATTTGTATGGTTAATTTCGCTTATGATGACTATATGCATTCAAACCTATTATCTTCAAAGTAAGAGCAAATTTAAATCACTTAATTCGTTGGGTCAACTCGAAATCAAACACTATGGTTCTTGAGCTAACATTTGAACAACCATTGTATGACCCGCAGACCCGGTCCTAGACATGTTTTATTCTAGTCTTATGTGACTTGCTATTTATATTATTGTTTGTATACGAAGGGTGTATTTTGGACCTTCCTCAAAAATTCATGACAAGAGTAGGAGAAAATACCATAAGAAATTTAGTTCAATAAAATCTATCAAAAAGATTTTAATGGACTAAAATAATTGTACAGGTTCCACATTTTTTGGCTTTCTTCTGATAAAACTCAACTTCTTCTTAACCCCACAAGCCACATCTAGTTGCAATTTAACATATTTAGATTTGACTTCTATTTATTATTTTTCTATCGTTCTATCAATATAATATCGCTAAATATAAATGTTAATGTTTTTATTTAGATTTGACTAATTTAAAATTTTCTATTATTATTCTATCAATATTTCTTAACCAAAAAAAAAATCTATCTACTCATATATAATTATAAATATTGAGAATGTAGAAACGCCAATTAAATGTCCAAGAAAATTTTTGTTCATGATTGTACTTTGAATAATTATTGTATGTATAGCTTCTTAATGTAATTGAATATTATATAAATAACATACGAAGTATCACTTTAGTGCGTGGTTGGTAAATCTATGGATGATAACAAGCTGAAATAATTTAGATAATTTCTCGAGTTGATTTGTAATTTTACATTCTACTTGTATTATGAATTAAATTGATAAAATAGCATATCGATTAAATGTATTATAATGTTTTAATTACTATTTTAAAAATTGACTTAAATTTCATATTCCATAATTCATATTACATTAATACATTATACAATACACAATCTAGTTATACGTAGTATATGAGTAGTTTATACAGAGTAATAATAATCAGCCAATCAAGTAAGAAGATAGGTTGGTCGGTGGAGGGGCAGGTCCAGGAAGATAGACGTACCAGTAGTCGATCATTTAATAAGAGGGGCAACAACTCAACAAGGCATCCTATTTTTGTTTTTGTTTGTTTTTTTTTTTTTTTTTTTTACTTTTTAGAGAATTTTAGCATTTTCATAGTAACTTTTTTTTTTTTTTTTAATTGTCATATTTTCTATTTTTGGTTTATTCTTTTACAACTATTTCACCCTTTTAAAATTAAAACTTTTCTTCTCATGGCTGATATATAATGCTATGCTATCTTCACCGGATATATATTTAGGAATTATAACATTTATATTATTTTTGTTTTACTTATTTTAATAATTCGCTATTGTGTTTGTTCTTTAAAGCCTAATTTTCACGGATTAAAACTTATCTAAATGGTTTTGTCTTTGAAATAGCATGTAGATCTATTTGATAACCTGATACAAGTTATGTATTTTTTAGTTGAGTTGGACAATGCTTGTTTAAGACTTAATGATTTCAAATTCCAAATTTATGATTTCTCCAAGTCGATTTGTGTATAATACAGAGTAATTTGTGACAAAAAGTATATACTGAATTCTGGACTGATTAATCTTCAAATATTATTTAGCAATTGATCATATTGGAAAGTAAAATTTGCCCTTAATGTATATGTATACACTAAACCACTAAGGTATTAATATGTAAAAGTGAAAAACTTTACAAACCTTTCCCTTTCATCAGTGTGTAGCCATATCATATTATGTATGAAAGTTACTAATAGTTCTTAATTAAATATATTATGTTTCCTAAAATCATATATGTGCTCCCTATATTTATTTTAAGTATATGGACAAATACGATGAAATAAACTTAAAAGGACGGATAAAATATATACGGAGTAACTTTATAATCAAACATAGGGTTGCATTCACGCAAAGGCTCAAACTTTGAAATGAAAGGGAGTGAATTTATAAGGGTAGTTTAAAAATAGGCCTACTCATAGCTCAGTGCAGGCCTATTCTATGCCTACTACATGCTATTAACACTCACTATCTCACCCTACTAGGCTATTACTACTAGTATTCCCTATTTTCTTTATTTTTTTTATTTTTTTTTCATTCATAAACTTTGATGATTAGGCAACAATATAATGATCTCATCATCCTGATTCCTTATTCACAAAAAAAGAGGTGCCCTCCCCTTTAATTTGGTTGGTTACATCCTGCTAACTTACAAAACTTACAATCCTTGAATGAAGCAGTAATACTGCTACCTAGTAAAGTAGTAATAATACGAGTACTCCGTATTAATATACCATATGTATAAGTACGAGTATTACTCTTATACTTTCTCCGGTTACCTTTTATTTTATGTTACGACTCACAATACAGGTAAAAAAGTACCCTCGACATATTCACATAAAGTAACACCGACCCCGGCCAAAGCATCACCCGAGCCACACACAACGGAGTAACATACGAGTAATTCTTAAATTACGTGTCTAATGTCTATGTAGATGATGAATTGCAAGTACAAGAAAACGGGTAATAATATGGGATAATAAATTAATAATATGGTTACACACGCACGCATAAATCTTTGATCAGTGGTTGAATAACAGTCAGCATTAAATACACATACACAGGAGTGCACCCCTTCCTTCTGTTACCCACTTGCCCTCCTTTCTTTTTTCTCTCTTCATTCTCAGGTGATGCACTTGTTTGATCTTGTAATGTTAACCCAATATTTAATTTATGACAATCAAATCTATGTTATCAACCACCAAATCTAACCCCCCCTTTTCATTTCCTGCTACTTATCATTATTAAACTACTACTCCTTCGTTTTCAGTGCACTCTACTATATATTCATACTTCTCTCTTAATTATTTCCTCATTTTCTTTCTTTACAAAAAAAAAATGTGGAAGGTTGAAGATGTGTTAAGGGAGCTTAAAGAAGAAGGAATATTTGAAGAAAACAATGGTAAATTTAGTGACAAAGATGGTGGTTTACCACCTGGTTTCAGATTTCATCCTACAGATGAAGAACTCATTACTTTCTACCTTGCATCTAAGGTCTTCAACACTACTCCTACTACTACCAACTTATTCTTGTCCAATTCCGGTGTCCAAATTATTGAAGTTGATCTCACTCGTTGTGAGCCTTGGGACCTTCCAGGTATATAATATATACACGCCGTGTTCTCTTCACCTGATTTTTTTTTTGTTACGAAACAAATGACATAACATGACTGATGATTATGTATTATTATTATTATTATGTGTGTGATGTGCAGAAAGAGCGAAGATGGGAGAAAGAGAGTGGTATTTGTACAGCTTAAGAGACAGGAAGTACCCTTCAGGGTTAAGGACTAACAGAGCTACTGAGACTGGCTATTGGAAGGCTACTGGTAAAGACAAACAGGTCTACGCCACTGGTATTACAACTACTGCTGGTAGTGGTGGAGGAGGAATGTTGATTGGTATGAAGAAGACGCTCGTGTTCTACCAAGGCCGTGCTCCTCGCGGCGTCAAGACTAAATGGATTATGCATGAGTACCGTCTTGACGGCCATTTCTCCTCCTTTCGTCTCTCCTCTAAGGTCTCTACTCTACTGCTTACTGTTTTTAATTTCCACCATTCATTTTAGCCGATCCCAAATCATTATAGGACTAGCTCCTCCAAAGTCTCTACTTCACTGTCTTAATAATTGTCGACTCATCGTATCTTTTTGTGACAATTCATGTTAGCCGACCCTGGAGTTGTTTGTCATGCTATGCCTTTAAGTTTCTAGGTGCTAATTCATACCATGCTTTCTGAAAAGGCAGATATTAGTAAGTAGAAATAGTCAAATTTCCACTCCTAGGATATTATAGCTAGGACTGATTTGATAAACTTGTAAAAATAATTGCAGGAAGAATGGGTGATATGCAGAATATTCCACAAGAATGCAGAAAAGAAATACTCTCCACAAATTCATCATCCACCTTCTTCGCCACCGCCGCCGCTGCTGCAGCCTTTATCTCCTTTCCTAAGCAGTTTACCTCCTTTGGCTGAACCACCTAACACCACCACCACAACCACCCAATCATTAGCTGATACTACACCCTGGCAACCTCGTCATTATGACCTCCTCCATTCCTTATTGGTGAACCCTTTGCCCAATTTTTCATCCATCTCTGGATCAAACACCAATTTCCCTGCCGCCGCCTCAAGGGAAACAACCCGGTTCAAGTCCTTCCAACAGCGATGCCTCTCCTCCACCGCCAGCAACAGCATTGCTGCTGCGGCTACTGTGCCTGCTGTAACAAAACAGTGGCAGCAGCAGTGGGTTGACAAAATATGGGCTCAGAATGAGTACTTCCAAAATCAATATCATAATCCCTTGAATATTGATCAAATGATGGAACCTCAACCTCTTCCTAATACTTACACTGCTGCTGCTGCTACTACTACTGTCAATGATAATGATGAGGACGAAGATGTCGATGTCGAAGCTGCTGTTCATCATGCTGAAATGTCTCCCTCATTTGCAGTAGCAGCACTAGACAGGATGCTAAATCATACTATCAATCACCACCAATACCATCCTACAGAATCTTGGTCTTTTCGTCTTCATCCCTAATAATTTCATTAGTATTATCATTGTTATTATTACTATTTCTTAATAGTTAGATATCTATTTTTATGTTAAATTAGTTGCTGCTAATTATATAGATCTACATAAATACTCATCTAGCTGCCTAGCTAGCTAACATAAATTTATGTATACAAATATGCTACTTAATTATCTACTATGCCTTTGCTACTTTTGTGCATACATGAGAAAACTCCCAAGTAACCCATGCACGTGCATAGCACCGTACCCTTCCTTGACCTCTCCAAATCCAAAAAAGTGAATAAAACACGTAACAAAAAAGTGCATGATGAGTTTTAATACATATTAGAGTTATATAATCATGTCATGTGTATGAATTTGTTTGTGTGGTCTTCACACAAGTTCGAAACATACGAGTATAAGCAAAGTGAAAACACGGCGGCTATCATATTGACAAAATCAAGTCCAAATGATCCTCAATGTAGTGTTACTTATCTATATCCAATACATCAACGTATGTTAGTTCGAAGCTAGACTTGTATAATTTTATGTAAGTAGTGTATCAAAATCCGATGAAAAACTAGGCCAAATCGATCCTTAATGTATGCTCATTCGAAGCTAGACTTGTTACTCAGGCCTCACCGCCTCAAGGTGTAACGACGGGATAAAAACAGCTAGTAACAGTGAAGGGCGAGTTGTAAAATGGTAAAATGTTTGGCCGACCTAAAAATTGTACTAGTCTACCTCTAAACTCTAAAGTCTAACCTAACCTCTATGGCTCTATTATTATTATCATACAGTAAAAATGAATGCTTGAATGAACGAAAGAAAGTTGATCAAACCAAATACGAACAAAGCAATAATAGGGCATGGATACCTAGCCCAGGTCAGGGTACAGCTATATCCATCCAGCCATGAATTTTAGATCAGTGTCTCTCAGTGCACTGCAAAGAATCCTCTGCCGATATAATGTAGCCCCTAGCCAAGGTTAAGTTGCCCTCTTCTAGTAGCTTGATCGTGCCGTTTCAAGTTTGTAGTTTGTGTAATTTGCAACAATGATTTTGTAGTTTGCAACACAAATTAGACAAATGAGGATGTAAAAAGTCAAGTTGTTTTATTGACTAATATGAAAAGTAAAAAGAGTAATGCATTATGAAAAAGAAGTTACATTAAGAAAAAAAAAAATACACACTATATATATGAATTACGAGAAATTATTTTGGCACTTTAAAAATTGATTTTCGCACATCCATTGCTAGAGCATAGTTTTCTCTACTCTTCTCTTTTAGACGTGTGTCAAAAATAATTTTTGGTGTATTACCACAGTAAGAAAAAACTTATAATTACATGGTATAACTATAAAGTATTTAATTAGTAATCAATATACATTAATCTATATAAAGGGAGTTGCTGAGTACTCCATAGAACACAAATCTGGAGGGAAGAACCCTGTCGCGGTCATGACACAAGAACAAAAGAACAAGGATTACTACCTGTATGATTTACCAACTACCTGGAGCCTCATCAGTCATTATTTCATCACGAGCTGGTTGTTATCAGGTGGTCATAAAAGTAGTATGACAAATCAAAAGTCTGTAAGGGCAAACTTGAAGGTCAAGGGGTAATTAAGAGAGCAAATACTCACCCTAAACAAAGTGCTGGAAGATATTACTAGCGTCGAGACAGTACTACCCAAGGACTCGGCTGCTTAACATTGTTTGGCTAGTATATGTAGAGGCCAGGGAAGGGGAGGAGAGGGAATAATACTGAAGAAAAAGGAGTTAATGGGAAGCAGGAGGGAAGGATTGAACTATCCTTTTCCTATCAAATTCTAATTGTAGAGAAATTTGGTTCAGTACAAGAAGAATAAACCCCTACAAATCTACAATTTTCTTCCTTCCCGTTTCTCATATATTGTATCAAAGGAAAAATAGATCCCTCACTCTGCTTTCCCTCCAAATTCTAGCTCATCCAAACAGTATTAATGACCAAATCACTAACATTCTCAATATTTAGCACCACATTGGCTCAGCCCCCTGGAACAATGATGTATTTGTTAGGTAAATGACTCCGTATATCTAATTAAACAATGATGTAATTGTTAGGCAAAAATGATCCTAGTGCACCAAAAACACAGAAGTATGTCAACTGTTAAGTATATCCTTAACCTGAATTCCACAAATAAGATCCAAAAGCATCAAATGCACTCCAAAGGGTCCTAAAACATACTGATATTACATGTTACCAATGACAATCATTCACACTGTCAATAACCAAATGCAATTACAGAACAAGTCCTTCAATAATCTACTGATAGGCTATTATGTCTACAGCTGCTGCTGATGGATAGATCACGTACCAAACATTAATGAATAATCAGTTCAGAATTCCTAATTAACCAATATTATCAAATGGGTTCTTCACATCTTTCCATCCCCCTACTAATCGACCCACATTGCCATTAATTATTATAGAAGGTTAATGAGTCCTCATAAAGCGTAAATAAATAATCAACACTGGTACTTATCAGAAGAAAACTAAAATCTTTTATTGAAGCTGTATCTGATGATGGTCAAAGAAACCATGGAGGGGGGCTATGGAGAGGAATAAAAAAAGTTTCGGGGTATAAGAACACATACAATATCTATAACAAACTTCTCTTAGATTGAAAGTCAATACAAAGAGTTGTTCAACTCATAGAATTAAAATGTCATGTTCGATATATGTAATACATTAACAGTAAAAAACATATGAAGTATCAAACTTATGAAAACGTTGCACACCTAAAGCTGTATCATCAGAATAATCGCCGAGAAATGAAGATATGCCGCACCAAGAAGAAAAAGGAATCAAGTCATGCCCCAAATAAGATTCAGGAATAAGAATTGACACAATATGAGTAAAACAGCAACACACTAACAAAAACATGGTTCAAAGTATGATTTTACCCACAAATTACAATATGAAGCCATATTCTCACTTAATAATGTCAATTAGAACTATGCAAGGTTGCAATCTCTCCCTAGGTAAAACGACAATGTAAGCTATTTCCCACTCTCCAATCTCAATCCTAAGGAAACCATCAAATGCTCGGTTAAACAACCTAATTGCAAGCAAATCCAAGTTTTTATGCTGAGAAGAATTGATACAAAAGACGGCCTAGCATAAACTATCTTCTTCTTCTTCTTTCATTTTCAAGAGGATTTTCTCAGTCAGAAAATGCTAGGATAGCTACATTGTTTGGAAAACACCCTTTACTATCTCTAAACTTAACTAACAAGATGAGTGAAAACACTAGTACTATTGCGTGCTAGGCTTATCAATGATGATCCGACTCGTCGGAACAGGATTCTTATAGGCTTCATAAAAACAGAACATAGCACACTTCTCTTCCTTACTGTTCTTTCATAGAATAGCGCAAAATATACATACTTTGAAGACAGACATAAAAAAACCAAAATCAAGCCAATAACAATCCACAATAACACACCAAGAACAGTTCCACATGTATGCAGTTTCAACTTTCAAGCTCTAATAATAATATATCAACACAATAAATCTGATGTAAATTATACAGCAATCAAAACAGAACAGCAACCAATTTCCATTTGGCAGGGTAAACATTATCACCAAAGATGATAATTTATACTATGAATGTAAACTATACAGTATAAAACAACAACCAAAAACAATACTTTCCCAGAAAACTAAGAATGTTAAATTAGCCAAACCCTAAGAGTCCAACCAAATACTGAAGATAAATGGCAAAAACATAAAGCTGAAATCTAGCATTAGAAGTAGAACCCAATAATTGATCATAAAAGAAAAAAAAAAGAGAAAGATGAAAAGTAATACCATAAGAAATGACTCAATGAGAAGATTCAGAAGAAGAAGCATCCATGGAACTGCTGGGTTTGGTGTAATTGGGAGGGGAGAATACAACAGCGGCTGCCATGGGGAATGGAAATACGACCCACTTGACCAAAACGGCTAATTTGTGAAGCAGTGGCTCTCCTTTTAGCAACTTTGCCTTTTTTCTTCTTTCTTCTACAACACACTTAGCTTCCTTTCACTGAGACTCAGTTGATGTTGGTGTTCTGGTTTTTGAATGAATATTTTATGCTTCTTCTTCTACACACTTCGTCCACCCCATTGTTTGGTCCGCTCAATACGTGTTGTGCCGTGCTATAATTTACAAAAGGTAGCTCATTTGCCTTTTCGTGACAAGTCTTGGTGCGTCAAAGGATCATAACATTATACTGTACCTAGTATTATACGAGTAGTTTTTATTTGAGACATTCAGAAGCACTTTAAGTCTTTAATGCATAACATTGATCGATTCTCATCATCGCCCTTGTGCCTCTCTAAACACCAAAAAAAAAAAAACATTGTCAAATCAGAAATAGTTATTCAAAGGCTAAATTTGAAAAATATACGGAGTAGCACACAAAATTGGACCATTTTAAGAGATTTCATACCTAGTGTCAAAATTTTACATACAAGGTCATAAAAGGTAGTTTGGAATCATATACGGCCACTAATAGATCACATATAAACTCATATTGGCCTTTAGTCACTGACGAGAGACGAGTTTAAACTAGCTAAATTGATAGTTAAAATAAAAGGTGAATGAAAAATTCTCCAAGAGTGAAGGATATGTACATGAAATAGAATCATTTAAAAGATAAAAAAACCTAGTGACGAAACCTCAAATGATGGTGGAGGATGCATCCCGGAGAGCGAGGTCATATAATGCTTTTTGGAACAATATATGTCCATTAATTGGTCATATAAAGGCTTATGGTGGCCTTAAGCCAATTACGGAAACAAATTAGCACATGAATGCATAATCTATCAATTTTACAGCACTAAACCTCTAATGCCCCTAAAGTTTGTATATGTCGTCAATAAGCAGTGGTTGTATGCTCTCAGAAACTTATCAATGCACAGCCCTATGCACCATTGCACTGGATTACCTTGCAGGCCCTAGAATAAAGTGTGATTTTCTGAAATTCTCCAAGCAAATTTCAAAGTAGCTATTCAAGGATCTCCATGAGTTCGTGCTTGATGTTCAATAGCTTTATCATACCATCACCATTCAAGCCTGTCTGGAGGGCCGATAAAGGCGATATAGCTCTTCTAGCTTTCTAAGAGCCTGCAGATCACACACACAAGAAACATATCAGTACCAAAGACCAAAAGGCTATTTGACAGTACTTGACACACATAACAGAGCATAAACAAGAGGGGAAAAAACTAAAATAAAAAGCAAAAACCATAGGAGCTTAGTATATCCTGAGCAAAAATACACATAGGAGCTAATCACAGAATAGCAAGCATCCACAGCCCGCAGGTAATCTCTCTCAAGTACAGAGATTAAATGCCAATCAAGAATAGAAAGTATATATACAGAAGGCAAACTAAATCACTCCATGTCTCGTTTAAAACTTTGAACACATTACACAGAAATAGATGTGTAGAACACCAGCTAATAAAATGAGCAGTCAAACATATGAATCCTTTGCTAACCATGAACACACATAGCTAGCATAAGTACATCACTAAGAACTCGAGTAAATTAATGGGAATAAGGCCACACAAGCAAGTTCATGAAGATCCTCATCAAAGCAAAATCACACAATCACTCATCTAATTAGTAGGGGTCTTGTTTCACTCATATTACTTCAATGACAATACACTACCAGGCTTTCTATCACACTCAATTTCCACTAGTATAAACCAGATAAGTATAATCATCCCCAAAAACTTTTGGTTAACTAACAACAAACATATTTTGATGCTATCAAATTTATCACTTTAATTCATTCTTTCCAATTTTTATTTTCTTATCTTTTAACAGAGGATTAAATAAAAATTGAGGAAGAATACACCTAATGCCACCAGCAGATAAATTATATATATGTACAAAGTATGATGATACTTTGATCCATGCCTAATACCTAAAATAATTAAATTACCGAAATTATTTCTACCACAATTTATTTTTATCTATTTGTACAAAAAATGGAGCTTTCACTATTTTCTAAGTCAAGTCATGGGAAATATTATTAAGAGGTGTTGATATGGAAAAACTGGGTTAAATACCAAAAAAAAGAAACGAAAAAAAAAAGAACTACAAAGCTCAATAGGGGTAAAACAAAGGGTACGATCAATGCAGGTGGCTTTTGGGATGTTTTGGCTAGTTGAAACTCAAAGTAGAGAGTATGAGTTCTAGAGTGTAAACACCAAGAAGTAATCACACAGCTAATTTAGTTGACAATTGCAAATGAAATGACAGGATTTGTTTGGTTGACACCAAGATAGTTGCAATTCATGGAAATTTTGAGTGAACAAGGGGGTCAGTAACTTGTTGCCCATGCTCTATGGAAAGTTCTAACTCCTAAGGAAGTCAAATTTCACCCATCTTCACCTGTTGTTAACCAAAGCAATAACCCATTTGCAATAGTAGCTTGTTTATTTGCAATCAATTGGTATGGGCGACAGAAATTCCTAAGAAAGGCTTGGCTCACTTGTGATATTGGCAAAATGAAGGAATAACAGCTTCCTTAGGATTTTAGGAATTAGAATTTCCCACATAACATGTGAAGTTATTTAACCTACCCCTTGGTCATTCACAATTCCCATGGTTTGTAAATTTTCTAATGTTGACCAAACAAAGTAATTCCCATGAAATAATTCTCGATGCAACCAAGCTATCACTTACAATTTTACAAAGAAATAAACACTACAAATAATCAAGCAAATCAAATGTGGGATGCCTCAATTTCAGCGAACTCAACTCATTCAGGGGACATATATTTAGAGACATGCATTGATTTCATACATCACTTCCTATATATCTTAAAGCATTAAGAAGAAGAAAACAGTCATTTAAAGCACAAACCTGAAAGCAAAAGTACACGAAGATTGTCATCCATGATGAAGGTTAATGCAGAAATGAAGTGCACCAAGGACAGAGCACCATAGAAGACACCACACAGCAATTGCCAAAGTACTCACATACTGTGATAAGCACTATCCTCAGTGCAGAGTACAGAGAGAGTGAGATAGCTATTTCCTGGGAGGACCGGGTGGTTATAGATGGGGTTGTGGATAGTGTGGGTCAGGGTAGGGAAGAGTGTTGGGGTTGATATGACCCTGCTGGACATGCCATCTGTATATGGGGTAAAGCATTTGATCAAACTGGTCTAGGCGTTGGTTCATGTACTGCTGAGAGGTGTGAATTTCTTGAATTCCAGAACGAATAGACTCCAAAAAAGCTTGCAGGGCAGCAAAGTCACGAGGCTGATTTGGAATGGACTGGGAGGAAGAACCACCTACATGTTCCTCATGCACGAAAACAGGAGAGGGGTTAGTTTGGTACTCCCTTTCACAGTTTTCCTCATCCTCCTCATCCTCTCCATCACTTGCAAAGATTTCTGGAAATACCCAATTAGCCTGGTTCCTAATCGTTGTACGCTCAGGATTAGGCAAAAAGAATGCGGGTTTCTTATTAACTACCCATCGATACCTATCACCATCCTCCTGCAACCATCCCATACTTACAAGCTTAGGAATATCAAGGGTGGCGATATGGGCAACTGGTTGTATATGATCGAAGTCAAACCCTAAGGAAACCGCAATAGGAGTAATGAGTCCACCAATGACAATCGGACTCTTCTTCTTAGACTTGCCTACAGCATGAAAATGCCGGGCAATGAAAGAGGCCGTATTCAAATGAACATCCGGATACAACATGCTTTGTATCATTTCCATTTCCCACTCCCTAACAGTCCCTTGACTATCATGTCTCCCAAAAATGGTACTTGCCATTAACCTCTGCAAATATCGAAACACAGGGTTATGAATCCGAGAGGCCTTAGACGACTGAGGATTATATCCATTCAACCCCGTAATTTGCCCCCAAACCAAACTCGGATCACTGTTATAATACAGTGCATTACCACCTTCCGGTAACCCATAAAATGCACCAAATTCATCTAAAGTTTTAAAGTATTCCCTGTTAAACATTCTAAACCAAACACCAGGAACATGGCCTTTAGGAACTTTAACAGTATTTTGTTGAAATGAACTCAAAAATTCTAAAGTAAGTTGTTGATAAGTATGGTATTGGTTCATCATCAAACTAGTCCACCCGACTCGATCAAATAACCATTCTAAATCAGATTTAATACCCAAAGCAGTAATACATTCATCACTAACAAACCTTGTTGCTACAATCCGACGAACTTTCAAACATTGAAAGCGATTATAATGCTCATCATCACGAAATTCAATAAGCGGAAAATCAGCATCTTTTAAGTTAAATTTAAAAGGGTTACCATCCGTTTCAGGTTCCGGTTCCGGTTCCGGTTCCGAAGAGGGGTAATGTTGATGATTGGATGAAGTTGGATGTGCACGGCCCCTCTTGCTCCCCCGTGCACCGGACAATTTGTACTCAATTTCAAGATCGGAGTTTGAAGTATGGTTTTTATGGGAAATAGTAGAGGAATTTGGATGAGATACAAGAATTATGGGTTCTTCAGGAGAAGGGTGGCCGTGCCATTGATGGGTTGAATTTGGTTGTGCACGGGCCCTCTTGTTTCTTCGTCGGCCTGACATTTCTGTAGATCAGGCGATGAAAATGAGGAAATTGAAGCTTATATCTAACCTTGAGGAGGAAGAAATGGTGGAAATTGGAAGAAATTGAAGGGAGTATTAATGGAGGAAGAGAGAAAGAGAGGTGTGACGGCCGTGCAATTTTAGTGGGAAAAGTGGGTTTGAGGGTTAGATACCGGTATGATTGTGGGGCCCGCGTTATTGTTAACAGTCAGGATGCACATGCTTTAGCCCGTGCATCATGCACGGGTGTGCCGTGTCGTCTACGGCCAAAGGGCTTTGTTGAGTGGCATTTTTGTCCAAGGATAGCTCAACTTGGTCTCAAAGAATTACTCTTATACATTTATTGCCACAAACTAATAAATATGCTCCATTAAACAAAAACAAACATACATACCCATTATTTGGTTGCTCTGCTTCCTTTGATATTGAGATTATTTGTATCCGTTTGAATGTAACCGAGGTTTCCAATCTCTAGCCTGAAGAAATCGTCGAATCCTAGGTTACCAAGAAAGGCAGGAAGCCCAAGACTTTTCTGTAGAGTCGAATTGCTGCAAAAACATGTTTTATCTTCTTTGAAATATACAAAACCCCTCGGGTCAAGTGAATATTTGTTTTCGTACGGAAAATCGAGATCACGAGAAAACGGTATCCTTGGGGACATAATCTGTGTTATTCCATAAGTTTGAGGAGAATTTTGAAGATACGGTAAACTCTGGAGCGCATAAATCCTAGTACGGGGGTCCGATCAAGGCAATTTTTTTATTTTATTTTAACCCCTAATCTCTAAGAGTACTAAATAGGCTGCTTGGATAGGTCCTCTAATGCCTATGTTGAGAGATATGATTCTGAAATTTCGGGGATCCGTAACTTTGTCTCCAGGTGTCCGATCGGGGCGAACTTTTTTTTTCAAATTGGGTGTCTCGGCGAGATTTGCACGCCCCAAACCCCGGCCAAGTAAAATTCGAAAAAAGGCTTCTAGAAGAAAATTTGGTCCATCATCCATCCCTTTGAAGGGCATATTGGTAAATTCATTCATTATACTCAAAGCTACTTATGTAATCTACCATAACATCTCCCTAATATCCACTCATTGTGGTAGTCCATATTTATTTTTTTATGATTCACACAACACCACACAACCACAACCTAAGTATTATTTACTTATAAACTTGACAAATATAAAGCCTCTAAGGTGTATGTAATAATATATTTTTCCCTAGATTTCATTGTAAGCCAACATTTGCCATTCTGGTACAGCACTATTTGCCATTTTCTGAGGTTGCAGGATCATAGTTAGGTCCTTGCATTTTTTTTTTTTTTCATTAACAGTGGATTGCATCTTTTTGTTTCAAAATGGCAAGGTAGTTAAGAACACAATCAGTAATGCAAAGGGATGCAGACTATCTTCTTTGATAAGCACGCTTTAGATTTCAGTAGAAAGAACATGCCAAAAAGCAAATTCAGCATTTATCACCAAACCAAACAATAAATTTCAAATGGGACAATTAATTCAATCAATATCCTAGTCCTTTTCAGAGTATACAAGTGCACAAAAACACAAAAAGTGATGACTTTCCTCCCTTATCCTTCACATAATTCCCTCTTTATCACCCACATAAAATTCATTGGTTTTCGACGCACAAGCTAAGATGCATCCGCATTCAAAACTCATGGCAGTTTCTCCACCTCATAATCCCACCTTACCACATAATCTAACATTGTCTTATCCTAATCTTCCTGCAGGCTGCAGCATGCACCTTTCTGGAAAACCATCATCTTTCTTTCAGAAATCAAATCACTTTTAACTTTACTTTTTGGAACTACAAATTAGCCAAAAGTAATGGCAGCCTCTGAGTCAAACACTAAACTCTTAGAGGAGCTAGAAGAACTCAGCCAAACCCTCTACCAGTCTCACATTACTGCAACCAGAAGAACTGCATCGCTTGTCCTCCCTCGGTCCTCAGCCCCCTCGGTACCTACTGCTGATGAAGCTGACACGGCAGCAAATGAAGACAGCAAGCCCAGTGTCAGGACAAGGGCCAGGAGAATGTCCTTATCTCCCTGGCGTTCTCGAGCCAAGGAGGATCCTGCTGACGAAAATGAGCAGCAGAAGAAAGAAAAAGAAAGTGAAGTTAAGCTATTTGATCATGAGGATACATCATCAACGGACAAGAAGGGTATTTGGAAATGGAAGCCAATGCGAGCTCTGTCACATATTGGAATGCAGAAACTAAGCTGCTTGTTTTCTGTGGAGGTTGTTACAGCTCAGGGTCTTCCAGCATCCATGAATGGGCTAAGGCTCTCAGTTTGTGTGAGGAAGAAGGAGACAAAAGATGGGGCAGTGAATACTATGCCTTCAAGAGTTTCCCAAGGAGCAGCTGATTTTGAGGAGACCTTGTTTGTTAAATGCCATGTTTACTGGGCACAAGTTGGTGACAAACAACAGCTGAAATTCGAACCAAGACCCTTTCTAATTTATCTTTTTGCAATTGATGCAGCAGAGCTCGATTTTGGAAGAAGCTCGGTGGATTTGAGCCGCCTTATCCAGGATTCTCTAGAGAAAAATGCTGAAGGTTCCAGGATACGACAGTGGGACACGAGTTTTGACCTTTCAGGAAAGGCAAAAGGTGGACAACTGTTGCTGAAATTAGCATTTCAGATCATGGAAAAAGATGGAGGAACTGGATTGTTCAGTCAGCTCGAGGGGGGATTGAAGCCAGGAAAAGCAAAAGCCTCTTCAACATTTGGACGGAAGCAATCAAAATCATCATTCAGCATACCAAGTCCCAAGTTGTCGAGCCGTTCTGAAGTCTGGACTCCATCTCGCACAGGAACTGCAGATTTTCAAGGTATTGATGATCTTAATCTTGATGAGCCTGCACCTGAACCTGAACCTCAGAAGCCAAAAGAAGAAGAGTCAGGTATTGAGGAAGTTGATCTTCCAGATTTTGAAGTGGTGGACAAAGGAGTGGAAATTCAGAACACTGATGAAACCAATGAAGATGAAGAGCTTACTGAAAAAGCTGAAATTGGGTCTTCAACAGGTGAAGTTGTAAAGGAAGTGGTACATGATCACGTTCACCTCACAAGATTAACAGAGCTGGATTCGATAGCCCAGCAGATTAAAGCTCTTGAATCAATGATGGGTGAAGAAAATGCGGACCAATCTAATGAAAATGAAGAAGAAACATATGATGCAGAAAAGCTTGATGCTGATGAAGAGAATGTAACAATGGAGTTCCTGCAGATGCTTGAGGATGAGGAAGCAGTTAATGATTATAAACAGTTGCAGAATAAAATGCCTACTGCTTCTAAAACTAAGGAAACTGCTGATGATGCCGAGTCGATAAGTGTTTTTCTACCAGATCTTGGAAAGGGTTTGGGATGTGTAGTTCAGACTAGAAATGGAGGGTTCTTAACTGCGACAAATCCTTTTAACATCGAGGTATCAAAGACTGACACTCCAAAGCTTGCAATGCAGATATCTAGACCTTTTGTTATAACTTCAGACAAATCCATCAACGGGTTTGAGATATTTCAGAGGATGGCTGCTATTGGGGTTGAGCAACTTAGCTCAGAAGTGCTATCTTTGATGCCCATAGAAGAGCTGATGGGAAAAACAGCAGAACAGGTAGCTTTTGAAGGCATTGCATCCACAATTATCAGTGGCAGAAAGAAAGAAGGTGCCAGTTCAAGTGCTGCTCGTACCCTTGCTACCATTAAACAAATTGCAAGCGCTTTGGGCACTGGCAGGAAAGAACGCATCACAACAGGGCTTTGGAATGTCAATGAAGATCCACTAACAGCTGATGAAATCCTGGCGTTCTCCATGCAGAAGATTGAGGCTATGGCAATTGACGCTCTAAAAATACAGGCAGAGATAGCTGAAGAAGAGGCTCCTTTTGAGGTTTCTCCACTTGGTGCGAGGGGACTAATCAGCGGACAAAAAGACCAAAACCATCCTCTTGCTTCGGCAGTTCCACTTGATGATTGGATGAAAGATAACAAGCTAGAAGAGTCAGAGACCATCACACTATTGATGGTAGTTCAGCTGCGTGATCCACTTAGGAGATATGAGGCTGTTGGTGGACCTGCTATAGTATTAATTCACGCAACTCCTGAGGCAAAACAAGAGAAAAATGAGCAGATTAAATTTAGAGTGGCTAGTTTGCATGTTGGGGGAATGAAAGTTCAAACAGGACAAAAGAAGAGTGCTTGGGATACTGAAAAGCAGAGACTCACTGCTATACAGTGGCTGATAGCATATAACATGGGAAAGGCAGCAAAAAAAGGCAAATCTCCAAGCTCAAAGGGCCAGGATCTATTATGGAGCATTTCATCAAGAATAGTTGCGGATATGTGGCTCAAGTCGATAAGAAATCCAGATGTAAAATTCACAAAGTAATAGTGGCATTTTTCCTCTTTCGTGTACTTAAACCCTTGTTAAGCATATTAATTTATTTTTTCTACTACATATTATAAGTTGCATCATATTCAACCCACAGAAAAAAAGAAAAAAAAAAACACCACATGTCAGCAAGCACAACAAAGTGGTGACTGTATATATAAATAATGAATTGAATGTTTACTAGTCTCCAAAAGAAAATGTATCAGCTAGATAACCTGATTCACATTGGAGCAGGATATTCTGTGAATTAAGTACATGTTCTTTTTATTTTTCTAAGTACATTACAATCAAGTTTTGTTCATCAATATTCAACTGATTTTACCAATATTCAGTTCAATTAAGCAAAAAAATTTTGAGAAAATTAATCTTATTTGGAACAATACAATATAGCACAACAAATTTACATTTAACTCAACAAGTGTTGTTCATCAATATTCAACTGATTTTAACCAATATTTAGTTCAATTAAGCAAAATGTTTTTGAGAAATTTATCTTATTTGGAACAATACAATATAGCACAAAAAATTTAGATTTGACTCAATAAGTTTCAGTTTACTTCAACCAAAGTTAAGCTCATCATTCAATTCTTGACCCAATTTGAGAGGTGTTATAACGGATGCAAGAAAGAACAAATATTGAATGTAAAATTAACAAGAAAAACAGACAAAGATTTACGTGGTTCACCAACAATGTGTTAGCTACATCCACGGGCTGGCGAGAGTAATAGTTTTATTGATTTTGGGGAAAATTGATTACAGATTCAGAACAGATTTGAGACTAATCACAGAAAACAGATTGATTGTCTCTCAGATTTCTAATGTTATCTTTCTGATAATTCACAAATGAGAAATTCACAAAAGACATTCACACTTCTGATAATCACTCAACTAATGATCATTGCTTGTATACGACTAGGAAATAACCTAAGGATATTTATAATAACCCATAGACTAGAAAAGATAGACTTTATTTAAGGAAACAAAGTCCACGAACAAAGTATCCAGAATCGGCCAAAAGTGTTAAGGCACGTGCCTCACGTCCAAAAAGCACCAGAACTCAAAATCTTTCGTCGGAACTCCGTCTAGGCACGGACGTGCCTCCCGATGGCACGAGCGTGCCTAGCCGAATACATGTGAAGCTCGCTGAGACGTGCCTCAGCAGTCTTCAATACTTCTTCGGCATGGCCATGTCTTGCCCCACTTCTTCCTAGTTCCCGACTCCTAGCTCCCTACTTAAGGCTATCGATTCAAGGCATATTCCTTACAAATCTCCACCTTGACTTGAATCCCCTCACAATAAAACTGATGTACATGCATTGATCACAATGTCAAATGTACCAGAAACAGACGAATATAACAGAAAAACAGATAACCAGAAACAGACTCTCTTTGCTTAGATTTGCCTTCGCTGGGCACCGGGTTTGCTCCGTCGAGCAACGGACTAGATTTGCCCCGTCGGGCACCAGATTTGCCCAAAGGGCAACTAACAGCTTCGAATAAATTGTAAGTCCAAGCAACCTTGTGACTTACTCTGCGGAACCAGATTCGAATAGATGGCTTGCCAATGCTTTTTCCTAGCATAAGCAATACCTTCCTTGGACGGCTCAGATATATCCACCTCTCAAACAAAGAAAATTGTGGTAATTCAGATTCAGTGTGAGTGTTCATTGATTTTTCCCGGACGTGGACCACCACCCCTACCTAGAGTGAGTCTATGCTCCACCTGTTTCATAACACTACCACAAACAGACGATGCGACAACACCAGACCCCGAACCAGATAACGTAGACCCTTACAACGCATACAATGTCTCCCGTTTAACACCCTTCAAAACTACCTTTGAACCCTTGTAGACATACAACCCTCCACCTTCACCTTTGAAACTGAACCCTTTTCTGTCTACAAAATCAGATTCCTCGTGACCCGTGGAACATGACTGACATTGTTCAACATACATAATTTACCATCATTTATTCGAACTCTAATAGACCCTATACCAACTGTTTTGCAGACTTCGTTGTTGACCATAGTAACACCTCTATCAACATGCTTGTAATTCGTAAACCACTCCCTACGTGAACACATATAGGGGTGTACACCGGTCCAAAACCGGACCAAACCTATTTGGACCGGGACCTAAATTAGTGAATTTTGAGGACCGGAGACCGGACCTGATTCAACAGGTCCGGTTCCGGGTCAGACCTGAAAAATCAGGTCCGGTCCGGGTTTAGACCTGAACAGACCTATTTTGTATTTTTTTCGTTTTTTTTTTTTCTTTATTCAAGCCAAAGTTTCTACATTTTAAACTCAGCGAAAATAACAATATAAATTAGCATTACAATGATATCAAAAACTAATTATAAATTAAAATTCGAAATTATATCAAGCCAATCATAACATAAATTAAAATTATACAAAAATTCGAAATTATCTAAAAAATATAAATTAAAATTACAATTATATCAAAAACTAATTATAATCATAAATATTGAAAAAAATTGGATCTACATTTTAAACTCAGCGAAAATAACAATAAATCATCGAAAATAAGGAGGCTCCAACAACGGCGGCGATAGCGAAGCGTCCGGCGATCTTCAAAGGGTAAGGAGGCTCCAACGGTGGTCTACAGCACGAAAATCAGCAAATTAACAATAAATCAAACATAAACCAAGTACCTAGGGTTTATAATTTAATAAATGAAATAAAATCGAAAAAGGGTAAATTAACACCACGGAGGTTGCGGTGTCAGTGGTGGTCGCCGGAAGTTCTTCCTCCTTTGCTCGCTGGCAACTGAAATTAAATCGAAAAAAAAGTAAATGGAGCGATCTGGATTCTGGGCAACGGAGATCTGACTCATCTGAGTACTGGAGATCTGGACCAACGGTGTCGGGACTCACTGGAGATCTGGAGCAACGGAGGTCACGCGTTTCGGTGTCGAAAACCGGTGAGGGATCCGGTGTGGGTCGGAAACCAGATGACGGAACAGAGAGAACAGGGAGAGGAAGAAGAAGAGAAGGGGAGAAATGAGAGGCTGAGACCGGGTTTTTGGGTTAGGGTTATATATATATATGGTCCGGACCTGAAAACCCCGGTTTTAGACCTGATCCGGACCAGAACCGGAAACTTTGAATTTCAAAGACCGGGACCGGACCTGAATCTACAGGTCCGGATTAGGTCTGGTCCCAACAGGTCCGGTTCAAGTCGGTTTTTAGGTCCGGTCCTGTTTATGTACACCCCTAAACACATATGATAAGACACCCCCAAATCTAGAACCCACACATCAAAGTGATGCACATGTTCATCAGCAATCAAGATATAATCCTCTTCTGAATGGGTGTCTCCCTATGCAATATCTACAGACTCATAATGTTGTCTCACCTTCTTGGGACATTCAGATTTCCAATGCCCCTTCTCCTTATAGTAATTACAGACATCACTAGGTTTAGGACCCCTAGAAACGATTTTCTAGATTTTCTCCCAAAATTCCTCTGTCTATTTCTCATATGACATTGGCAAAGACACTAACAGAATTAAGGCAGCATCCTCATCCTCCACCTTAACATCAATATTACGCAATTCTAGTAAAATCGTATTCAATTAATCTAAGTGTTTTCTAAGGGATGTACCTTTAGACATGCGCAGACCGAACAGACGTTGCTTCAATAGCAACTTATTGGTTAAAGACTTCGTCATGTATAGACTTTCCAGCTTCAACCACAGACCCGATGTAGTTTCCTCCTCCGCGACCTCGGTGATAACATCGTCGGCCAGACACGACATGATTGTTGAGTGTGCTTTCTCCTTCAAAACGGCTATCTCAGTGGTATCCGGACCCAGTAACAAAGCCCATAACCCTTGTTGCCTCAACAAAGCCCGCATCTTGATCTGCCACAAACTAAAACTATTTCTCCCCATGAACTTGGCGATTTTCACATTCAAAGCAGCCATCTTTCTCACCAGAATTAAACCCTAGGCCCCGAACTAAAGCTCTTGATACCAATTTTTTATAACGGATGCAAGAAAGAACAAATATTGAATGTAAAATTAACAAGAAAAATAGACACAGATTTACATGGTTTACCAACAATGTATTGGCTACGTGCACGGACAGGCGAGAGTAATAGTTTTATTGATATTGGGGAAAACAGATTACAGATTTAAAACAGATTTGAGACCAATCACAGAAAACAGATTGATTGTCTCTCAGATTTCTAATGTTATCTCTCTCATAACTCACAGATGAGAAATACACAAAAGACTCTCAAATTTCTGAACAATCACTCGACTAATGATCATTGCTTTTATACGGCTAGGAAATAACCTAGGGATATTTATAAAAACCCATAGACTAGAAAAGATAGACTTTATTTAAGGAAACAAAGTCCACGAACAAAGTATCCAAAATCTGCTGAGCGTGCCTCCTTTAGGCACGGACGTGCCTCGTCGGAACTCCATCTAGGCACAAACGTGCCTAGTCAGTCTTCAATACTTCTTCGTCGAGGCTAAGGCATGGACATGTCTTGCCCCACTTCTTCCTAGTTCCCTACTCAAGGCTATTGATTCAAGGCATATTCCTTACAAGAGGGATCAACAAAATTCTGGGGTTTGAGATGATAATGGATCAAAGACATAATTTGACTTTTACACTATTCATGTCTCCTCCTTTGCTCGTCTTTTGTGAGTTATATGACAATATATATATATATATATATATATATATATATATATATATATATATATATATATATATATATATATATATATATATATATTCAATTAGGATGGATCTTATTAAAATCGTCTTAATTAATACTCCTTAATGTACTATCATAATATCTACTTTTTATAAAATTTACTTACTGAAAATTACAATTATTGATGGTTAAAGTTATGCATTGGCAAGCGTTATAAAAAGAACGGAAGAATTATTTAATTGCAAAAAAATCTTTTAGAAGCAAATCAAAGTCTCCAGCATATGATTTTCATTGGTTATTTCAGGGTTGTCCTACTGATGTTCCTGCTCTTACAGTTTCACCCCAAAAATCGGCAACAGTGCCAGGTTCAATACGCAAAATATACCATGATGGATCCATTCCTAAGAAACTATTCAACCTCTCATATAAAGTTCAACGCATAAGATTAATGTACGAAGTTAGATCCCTATGCCATTCTCACAACATACATCCTTTCACAAAGCTAATTCATCCCCAGAAAAAGCTCACTGTCTTCTGGAATCTGGAACAGCATCCCTATACTTTTTTATACTGATCTGCAAACATGGGATACATCTAGTGATCTAGACCTC